GAGGTAATGGAAAAATCGAAGACGGCTCTGATGGCTATACCGACAATAGAGTTCCAGAAATATTTCGAGAGCTGGATCAAGCGCTGGCATAAGTGCGTTGCAGTCGATGGGGAGTACTTTAAAAGGGACAATATCACTTTTGATGAATAAACTTGTATTTTGAATTTTCTGAATGAATTCCGGGAACTTTTTGATCAAGGTATATACAGTGAGCGTCATTTATATATCATTTACTGGCTTTCGTTCTCTCGAAACTTCTTTTAAAATCTCACTCCAAAAAAATGAAAATATCACTACTATTGAAAAACAGTGAAAATATTTGCATCCTTGAATAAGCGTAGCAGATTTCATTCTTTTTTAGAGTGATATTTTGCTCTTTTAGAATGAGATTCACTCCAAAGGAAGGAAATCTTACTCCTTTTTGGAGTGAATCTTACTCCAAAAGATTGAAGTCCCACTCTAAAAAAAGAATGAAAATCTGGCACCTTTATTCAAGAGTGCAAATATGTTCTCTCTTTTTCAATAGTGGCAATATTTTTGTTCGTTTAGAATGAGATTTCACTTCAAGAAATTTAGAGTTGAAGATTTATAACTGTTGTGTATTGATTTATTAATTCTTATATGTATTTAGAATTATTAATGTTATTTTTATGTAAATCTCATAAATTATTACACAAAACCGGAAACTTACTCGATACAAATTGAGAGTAAAGGAAACGACTACTCCTCCAGTGAAACAAAGCAACGTTATCTCGAATGAGGACACTAAATGCTTGGACAACCTTCATAAACATAATAAATATATTATTTAAAAATGACAAAAAATATTATTAATCCTCCTGCCTATTCACTGCAGCCATCTTGGATCGTGATATCAGAAGCGAAAAAAATACATAAACAATTTTTGCATATTATATTAAAATGTCAACATATTCTTTTTAATAAAACATTTGCAATCATTAGAATGGATTTGTAAAATATACCGACAACTCTTCCCTTGTATCGTAATAAATAACTATATACAAAATGTCTCTAAAAAACTGCTGCTTAAAATAACTCATTAATTGTTGATTTAATAAAAAAATTTTTCGTATGAAAGAGTGAAACAATTTCAAGAAGAATATATTGTGTTGTTATCCTTTTAAGTGTCAAAAAGATATGAAGGTTATTTTCACTTTTTTAAAATGGAATGTATAATTTTTTTACATAATATGCAGAATAATTAGAGGAATTATATTATGTAAAAAAATCATATAATTCCATTTTAAAAAGTGTAGGTGACTTTTACATCTTTTTGGCACCTCCAGTGCATCTAGAAGAAATGTTACCAGAATACGTACCCCTCGTTCTACTTTCGTACAAAATAATTTTTATTTATTAAATCAAATAATGAGTTATTTTAAACGACATTTCTAATAATAACCTGTATTTGAAATTAAATTATATTTATCCAAACAACGAAATAAGCTATATGACAGCTATCGAACTGAAACAAATATGATACTATTTTAAAATAAAAGAAGAATTTTCGATATATTTTACAAGTGTACCCTACCAAATACAAATATTGTTTTTTTTGAAAAATATTTCTGCTATTATATATTCTTTACGAGAATTTTCATTATGCATATTTGACGTCAATTTGAAGAGCCGTGATGGTCAGGAGCCTTAATTGTATATATACTGCATGAATATTGTATGTTGGCATTAATACAAACTTCATAGCTTGACGATGAATGTCTATAGCACAAATTATGCTCTCGGTCATCAAAACTTTATTTTTTAACGTAATATTTTGTATGGTATTAATATTTACTGCATGGTTGATACGATAACTGTAAATATTGAGTTATAATTATGTAGCAATTAAAGGCACAATTTTTTAGTTAAAAACAAACTTCCACAAAAATTTGTTAAATGTACTATATGTATAAAAATAACTAATCTGATGATTAAAAGGTTATAACAAATACTCATTTCTCTCCTCTATGTCTACAATCTTACCTAGCAATTCTAAACATTCCACAGGTATGTAAAAGATATGAGATGAACATTGAACCTGTTGCTAACATTATAGTCGCTGCAACACATAATTCTCCGTACATATGCAACAGCATCCAATAGAAATACTTTTCTTGATCGACAAGGCACTCTGACATAATGAGTAAACGATGTGATTGAGATGTATTCATTGTATTAACATCAGCTATAAACGACCAAATTTGAGCTATAATAATAATAAACGTTCCACAAAATCCAAATACTAAAAAGAAGTAAAAAGAACTTGTTATTTAAATTCTTAGTATCTAAAATTGTTTTATGTATATTGTACGCATGTATTATAAAATAATTCTTATTTCGGATTTTACTGCAAAAATGATAGATATGTTACTTTATATATACGCTGTATTATAAGACATTTTTTAATAGAATAAGATTTATTGTAAAATTGCTAACTATTTTAAATTTTATTTGATTTATTAAACACATTGACTATTTCTCGCAGATACACATACATGGTCTTTAAATTTCTTGGAGCGAAATCTCACTCCAATAGATTTAGAGAGTGACAAATGCTTCAACAGATTCATGTAATGAATCATATCTAAATAGTTGTATGAAAAGGTAAATGTTTTGAAGTGGTGCCACCAAAAACCGCAGTTTTTTCTCAGTTATGAACAAAACTAGTTATAAAAAGATATGTATGTTTTAAGAGGGGGCTTGTGGATTTTTGTGGGAAAAAATTCTATTTCAAATAGAATGAACAAAAATCTTTTAGCGATTATACACTTCAAATGTTTACAAATATAAAGATCATTTTAGTGTAACCCTTCGGGAACAAAATCCATCTACTTCCACCCTCCCGCCTCGGAGCGTACGACTTTCCACGCAAAACGAGTTCCACCCCTGCCAAGGGACAACTTTTCATTCAGGCAGATTTTGCTTCGCGTGGAAAGTCATACGTCCCTTGACAGGAGGGAAATATGGGGTGAAACTCGGTTTGCGTGGAAAGTTCATCACCTCTTGGTTGGAGGGCAAGTGGAGAACTCGCTTCGCGTGAAAGTCGCGCGCCCCTAGACAGGAAGAGACGTAGGGTTCACGCTTTGCGTGGAAAGTCGAATGCCCCTTAAGAAGGGAAAATGAAGTGTCCATACATTTTTTCAGTTTTGCAAAAGTTTTAGGTACTTCTTGGCAAGTATAGATGATAATGTAGAAGACAAAGGACCCAGTAAACACAATGTTATATATAACATTGCATTTGCTGGGGAACTTTATATTAACATTTTAATTAAGAATAAAATTTTCTTATTCATTTTTGAAATAGAATTTTTTCCTATATACAAAAACCATAAGCCTCCTCTTAAAACATGGTATACATATCTTTTTATAACTAGTCTTGTTCGTTACTAAAAAAGAAACCGCGATTTTTAGAACAGCACCACTTCTGAATATTTACCAACTGAAGATATTATTACAAATTTAATAAATATTATCTTACCCGTAAGCGTAACCGTGTAACGTTTAGCAATGCAACTATATTTGTATATAATTGCAATTTCGTTTCTATCCGTTAATTCATTGAGTATATATCGCAGCTCCATCAATAAATTCTTCACCTATTATTTTATTAATTTTCTATACTGTCTTCGTATATATCAAAAACACTTAATGCAATAACAATGTTTTGATAGACAAGTTAACACTATTTAACGGATACTCGGTAAGTTATAAACTTACAATTTCAATGTTAAGATGGAATGCGTTATATTTTATCATGCACAATATGAAAAAAGATACGGAAGACAGCACCTTTATTATAAGGTCTAAAGTACATTTTAATATTATTAATGGTGTCAACTGCAAAAAGTTAGTTTTACACAATTTCATATATAAATATGATTTTTAAAAATGGGATATATTATTTCTTAAAAACGACATGTATTATCGATTACATATACAAATAAATGCTTATACATACAATTGTTAACCAACAATTTGCATTTCTATAGCGAATACTTTATAGTTTATTTGATATAAAAATTAAATTGTATAATATGGATTGATATAAATAATTGAAGTGAAAGATTGTCACGCAATAATTTTTATATTATATAATAATTTTATATTGTTTTTTACCTGAAATACAATACCTGCTGATAAAATGGCACAGAAGAAAATAAACTGAAATTGAGTAAATTTGGATTGTTGATAAGGCCATAAACCAATAGCAAGCAATAGAATTTTGTTGAGATTATTACACTGAGTGTCTGGATGTATCATTTTTTCTTCGAGTGTCAAAATATTACTGTGAGGACTAAAGACATCGTGAAAAGCATACTTTTTCCATTTTTCATTATTTGACTAAATATTTCACATTCTCATGTCTTCTGATATAAATTTTGCCGTAAATTTCATAATTTATAATGATTGGTTGTGTAAAAGTTTGCTATGTGAGATCTAACGGTACTGAATTTAACTACGCTTTTATCAAATTACGGATATTTATGTTATTGATTTACCACTGCAGGTAATTTGATAGATGTTATTTCTCATGAAAATAAGTTATTTGTCACGCAAGCGCATTTTATTTCTCTCAGCGCCAGAATTTCATTCTAGTTTACGCACTCACACGATACACTTCGAGAGAATATCCTTTTACTTCAATTCTTTCGGTATTGTGATCTATCTGATAAAATTCGTAATTTGAAAATATTAGCATTAATACATAACGTTATTATATTTTAAGACTGCGTTCGATGAAATTAATATTTTCGGCAAGCAAGTGTCGAATGCTGATTTGTTGTAATTTTGTGAATTTGTAAGTTTATTTGTCTATAGTTAAACTATTTACTGTATAATACATACTCTTTCCTTTATATTTCTCAATTTTTTAGTTTTCTATTAATGAAATTTTTAACTTATGTACTTATATAAGATGATATAAAAATAATTAATTAAAAGATTAATAATAATTTTTATACGTCGATAATAAATTTAGCACGCGAAAAATTTTATTTACAGATAATGTAAGATATATAAACATTCGCTATAATATATTTTAACAGTTATGCATATATTGATTTCAGTACTTACTTTGTAGAAACTTGAAGTATCTATATCTTGATTTTTTTCTTTTCTTAGAAAAGCGTGCATTTCGCAGAAAAATTTTTGTGCACATTGAAAGAAATTATTGAGATATAAAGAATTAAATTTTTTGAATGAAAAAAATTTGAATCAAAGGAGTAATTATTTTGCATATTTGCAAAAATAATATTTTCTTCCTTTAAAATATTCTAATTTTAATTCCTATAACGGTCGAAGCTGGATCTTTGATGTTTTTAAATAATTTCTATGTGAAATTATACTAAATATGTAGTCATTTAAACCGCCGAATTGATTTTTCGGCCTTATAAACACAATTAAACTACTATAGTAATATCACAAATTAAATTAACAAGCAATTTAATAATTTGATGCTCAATGCTATTAGAAAGATATTAATGTACTGAAAAACTGTAAATTAATTTATTGCGAAAAATATTACCAGGAGTCGAACCCAGATCTTTTATATTCCTTTATATGAAAGTCCTGAGCCTTTAGACTATTGAGGCTTCTTTCTACACTGATACGTAACGATAATAAAATACATAGACGAAATAAATACATTAACATGTTTATTATCTGTATATTTGTTTATTACAAATTCTTAATTGCAATTAAGGAAAAGTATATAATTTATAATATTCAATATTATATTTTTTTTTGAAAACGAAACAATATATTTTGTTTACATCAATCGCTTTATGTTATTACAGTTTATCCAATTTAATACAGACAGTGTAAGATTGTCACAATTTATATTAAGGAAACCAGTCCCTATTATCTACTTAAGCAAGTTTTTCTAATTTTTTACCGAGTTTAAAATGTGAGAAATATTTGTGAATATTAAACGAATATGAAACATTTTTTAATATTTAAATGAATAGTGAAGGTTTTAAAAGAAAATTGTATATGTATAGGTCGTACTGAATACAGGTGTGTCCAACATTAACAATACCTTTTTCTTTTTATTTCTTTTGTTTAATTTTTTAGCATGTGTTATTTATTAATGGAATCTTTTAACATAAATATTTATATGTATAAATGTCGAAATGAAATGGAATTAATTAAAAAAATATTTAATGCATTATACATATATAGCAATAAATTCTGCATGCAAAAAGTCTTATTTAAATATAAAATATGTAAATATGCGATGTTTATATTTGGACTATAGTTAGTACAGAAGCAGGGAGATCTCGACTATTCAGTACGCATGCTCATTTCAAACAAAGAAGGTCCATAATTCCGCGAAGTCATATGGGCTTTCAAGTTTGACGAAGCAAAGTTTCACAATGTGCATGTGTGTGCAGTACGAAAATAATATCACCATTTTAATTTAAATAACTTTTATTTTCTTCTGAACAGAGGGAAATATCTATCTGTACTCTACGTTAAAAAAATAAATCTGTTACTTTCTAACCATAATCATCATCATTTTTTCATCAACTATATTTTTATTATGACAATAATAAATTAATAAATACTTATTTTGTTATCGTGTAGAACGCATGACTGTAAAATAAGATACGGAGGCCTTTATTAGCTGCAATTATAAACATACTTTTTTATTGTAACTGTATATAAATGGAGACTAAAATATCCCACAAACTATTACCGTAGCAAAACCCTCTATGGATATATCAAATATTCCACCGACATTTAATGAAAATTTTTTGGCTCTTCTTTGCAGTAGAAATAGTATCATTCTTTGTATATGTAATGGGGTTTTATACCACGGAACGTTGTACCTACAGAATTGAATATAGAGATAGCAGATCGCTTACTTAAGATTGGAATTCTTAATTAATTAATTTTGGCATATATTTTAATTTAAATGCCGCAGATCAATTTCTGTATTATTGTAACAAGTGCAAAAAGCAACAATGGCACTGCCATACAACAATATTTCTCTTACGCAGTAATAAAAACGTGATTATTGTGGTCGATTATGTTCTGTCCGATATAGTGGGCTATAAACATGTATAAGATGCTTGAAGACGCAAATAAAAATGATAATAAAAATTCGCTGACATTGCTTTTATAGTTTCCAGATGATGTTATCTGGAAAAGCTAAGAAACAAATTTTACATAGTAAATATTAATCTTCTACATATGTATCTATGTCTAACTATTAATACATAACGCAAGTTATTGATTGGTAGTTCTATAACAAGTTTCACTCATTCTCACAACTAAGATTTTTTTGCTCTCGATTGCACTTTTGTGCACCAGTCAAAATTTCCGAAACGAGGTGACATTTGTCTACATGTATTATATTATTGCCTACATGTATTATTACCTACATGAATTATTACCTACAGCTGGATTGCCTATAAGCACTTTTGCGCACAAATAAAAATTTGAGAGACGAAATTAAATTTGCCTACTTGTATGATTGCCTACAAGCACTTTTGCGCACAAATATAAAATTAAGCACAAATATAAGATTAAATTACATAAGAAAGTAATTCTTACTTTTAAAACAGAAAATTTATGTTTTTAAAGCAAAGAATTTGTTTTAAAACAGAGAATTTGTGTCTATAAAGCAGAAAATTTATGTTTTAAAACAGAATTTGTTTTTAAAACAGAGAATACATGTGGGGAGGGGGGGGGGCAATGAAGCTGTAGTCAATAATAAATGTAAGCAAATGTGACTTCGTTTCTGAAATTTTTACTTGTGCACAAAAATGCATGTAGGTAATCGAGATGTAGGCAATAATTTTTGTACGCAAACGAATTGTTAGCAAATGTGATGTAGGCAAACGATGCTGTAGGCACTCGATTTGTGATATTCTTTATTATGTTTGACAATAAACATTCTACATATTTGTATTAATGATGTGTACCTACAATGTTAGTATGTTTTGTAATCATATTAATGATGTGTACCTACAATGTTACTATGTTTTGTAATCGAATATATTTGATTATGTTTTACGTTATTTTTCTTCTTATGGCAGTTACAAATATATATATATATATACAGTTTTGAATTTATTATTTATAATACTTATTATTTAGTGGCGTTTTTTTAATATTTTTATGTGATATTGATTTGTTGCTTTCAGATATACATATATTTATAGAATTACAGTATTAGTAACACATAATTTCAATGCAATTCTCATATATTATTACATGAAACCGTAAACTTACTTGAAACATATTAAAACTAAAACAAATTACTAGACATCCAGTGATACAATATGTCATTATTTCGAATGTGGTCATAAAATGCTTCAACAATCTTAAACACAAAAATACATTAGTAAATGTATCGCACGATGTAAACGACACAGATACATACTTCATAGCTTGACGATGAATGTCTACAGCATAAATTATACCTTCGATCATCAAAGTTTTATTTTTTATCGTTACATTTTGTGGAACATCAATGTTCACTGCATGCTTAATACGATAGCTGCAAACGTATCTTTTTTTATTAATTAATTATTAATTTTATATAACGGTTAAAATTATTATGCTCCTATGTCTACATGTCGTACCTAGCAATTTTAAACATTCCACAGGTATGTTGAAGATATGAGATGAGCACTGTACCTATTCCCAACATTATAATCATTCCAATACATAATACTATGAACATATGTAACAGAATCCAATATAAGTATTTTTCTTGATCAACAAGGTACTCTGTCATAATGAGTAAATGATGTGATTGAGATGTGTTCATTGTTTTAACATCAGCTATAAACAACCAAATTTGAGCTGTTATAAGAATGAGCGTTCCACAAATTCCAAATACTAAAAAGAAGTAAAAAGGATTTGTTACTTAAATTCTTACAATTAGCATCTAAAATTGTTCTATGTATATATAGATACTGTACGCATGTATTATGAAATAATTTTTATCGGGGATTTTACTGCCAAATTGATAGCTATATTATTTTATGTGTACGATGTATTATAAAACATTTAGTAAATGTTCAGAAAAGGGGTGCCATCCCTAATAACCTTGATCTTGATATATGTTGTAAAAGTCATGACCCTGAGTGACCTCCGATAGGTTTTAGATGGTGGTCGCTGTTCGTTGAAAAGTTATTAACAAAAAAAGTTTGAAAACTGACATCTCGTTTTAACCACATGAAACAAAAAACTTCTGTTTTAATGTAGATTTCCTGGTTTAAAAACAAAAATTTTTGTTAACAATTTATTAGCAATACACTAATAATTATTTTTACACTATATTGTTCTCACATTGCGCTCTTATAGTTATCACTTTCTTTTCATCCAAATAATTAATAAGATTTTGGAAATTATGTGCTATATGAATAAATTCGCGAAACAACATGGGGAGTGTACGAAGTGAATAGTGATTGTAAGTATATCATAATAGTAACGTTTTCATTGCTATGTTTACACCATACGCATAGTCCGCGACCTATGTGATAGGTGTCTTTGTTTAATGTATAGGATAAATTAACACAGTGTAAACGTAGCCAATATAAACGAATCAAACTCAGAAATACATGATGATGTACGACTATTTGACAAGCGAAAGTCATGTCAAGGGGAGTGAAAGTCGCTTCGTATGCCCCTGAAGCAGGAGGGGAGATGAGGTGAAAGTCGCTTTACGTGAAAAGTCGTAAAACATATTTTAAAGCAGAAAATTTCTTACACAAATAGAACGATTTATTATAAAAATTAGACCTTTAAGACTAAATATTTCAGAAACTATAAGAGACCGCCATTTAGTTGTTAAGGCAAAATTACTCAAAATCTTGATTTTGACAACATATGTTAAGGTCAAGGTCATCGGTGCGGTGTCCCGTAAAAAATGCATAATTATTGAATTTTTTCCACAAAAACCACAATCCCCCTTCTTATAACATGGTATACATATCTTTTTATAACTATAGTTTTGTTCATTAGAAACTGAAAAAGAAATCGCGATTTTTAGAAGAGCATCACTTTTGAATATTTACCAACTGAAAATATTATTACAAATTAATAAATATTATCTTACCCGTGAGCGTAACCATGTAACGTTTAGCAGTGTAACTATATTCGTATATAATTGCAATCTCGTTTTTATCCTTTAACTTACTGAGTACATATCGAAGCTCCATGAATAAGTTCTTCACCTATTATGTCATTAATTTTCTACACTACTGTCTTCGTATATCAAAAACACTTTATGCAAAAAAAATTATTTTATAGACGAGTTAATTCTATTTAACGGATATTCGGTAAGTCATGAACTTACAATTTCAATGTTAAAATGAAATGCATTATATTTTACCATACACAATATTAAGATAGATACGGATGACAACACCTTTATTACAAGGTCTAAAGTACATTTTAATATTATTAATGGTGTCAACTGTAAAAAGTTAATTTTACACAATTTCATATATGTATAAATATAATTTTAAAAAATACGATATATTATTTCTTAAAGACGACATGTATTAACGCTTACATGTACAAATAAATGTTTATACATATAATTGTTGACTTACAATTGGCATTTCTATATCGAGTACTTTGTAATTTCTCCTTCGATATAAAAATTAAATTGCATAATGTGGATTGATATAAATAATTGAAATGAAAAATTGTTACGCAATAATTTTTATATTATATAATAATTTTATATTGTTTTTTACCTGAAATATAATACCTGCTGACAAAATGGCATAGAAGAAAATAAACTGAAATTGAGTAAATTTGGATTGTTGATAAGGCCATAAACCGACAGCAAGCAATAGAATTTTATTGAGATTATTATACTCAGTTTCTGGATTTATCATTTTCTCTTTGAGCGTCAAAGTATTACTGTGAAGACTGAAAAAAATCGTTGAGATTATACTTACTCCATTTTTTCACTATTTGACGAAATATTTTTCATTCTCATGTCTTCTGGTATAATTTTTAAATTTTATAATTTATAATGATTGGTTGTGTAAAAGTTTGCTGTATAAGATCTAACGCCGCTGAATTTAACTCTTTCAGCAAATTACGAATATTTTTACGTTATTGATTCAGCACTACCGGTAATTCGACGGATGTTATTTTCTCATGAAAATAAGTTATTTGCTACGCAGGCGCATTTTCTTTCTCTCAGTGCCAGAACTTCAGTCTAGTTTACATACTCGCCCGATACACTTCGAGAGAATATCTTTTTTCTTTAATTTTTTCCGATATTCTGATCTATCTAACCAAGTTCATAAATTGAAAATGATAGCATTAGTAATAATAGTAGTTAATACATAACTTTATTACACAATTTAAAACTGCGTTTGACAAAATTAATATTTTCAGCAAGCAAGTGTCGAATGCTGATTTGTAAGTTATTTGTTTATATTTCGATTATTCACTGTATAATACTTTTTCTTTTTTATTTCTTAATTTTTTTGTTTTTATTATTAATGAAATTTTTGAACTTATGTATTTATATATGTTAATATAAAAATTATGAATTAAGAGTAATAATTTTTAAGAGTCGATAATAAATTTAGCATGCAAAAGATTTTACTTACAGATGATATATAAACATTTGCTGTAATATATTTTAACAGTTATACATATATTGATTTTAGTTATTTGTAGAAACTTGAGATTATAATATCTTAATTCGTCTTTTCTTAGCAAAAAAATATCTTTGCACATTTTAAAAAAAATTACCGAGTTATAAATAATTAAATTTGAATCAAGGAAGTATTTATTTTGCATGTGAGCAGGAAAAATATTTTCGTACTTTAAAATATTCTACCTTTGTAAAAAGAAGACATTGATTTATACGACATCATTTCTTTTGAAAATTTTGAACAAAATTGGTAAATAATTATTCTAAAAACGCGATTGAATACAGCTACTTTTGTTGTAAAACTTTTGTATAAAACTTTTTTTATATCTCAAATAGTTTTCGAGATATAACGGAAAAAACTGAAAACCGCTGTACACGTAAGGGATGATTTCACCCCTTCAAACCGTTTTTTAGCCGCAACTGATATTTTCTAAATTCATCTCTTTATGTAAGCTACAAGTTCACAAAGTTTCATTAAAATCAGAATTTGACACCTCGAGAGGTTCCCTTGTGAATTATTTGAAAAGCCACGCAGACGCATTTCTTTTCTTTCAGCGCTGGAACTTCATTCTAGTCTACGCACTCACAAAGTACACTTATAATTGGTTCTTGAAAGGAATGTCTTCAACTTCAATCTATTTAATGCCAAACGTATCTGGTAAGAGACGTTTACGCTTCTATACAATTGTATACAATGATATCGAATTGATGGATTGCATAAATTTGAAATAACAAAATTTTGATTTGAATAGCTTTAATCTTCTTTTTTTTTTTTTAGCAGAGATTAAGTATTCACATATACATATTATTATGTTTAAAAAATAAACCTGTCTATTTTCTAAGTGTGAATAATATCATTATAATAACTACATGTTCATGACCACTATAATAATATTAAATTAATATTTGTTTCTTTATCACAAAGAATATATGACGGTGAAATAAGATACTGAGACCTCCATTAGCTGCAATTATAAATTTTTTTTTTCATTCATATGTAAGGTGGCACTGCTAAAATATTATACATATTCTAATATATTATACAAAATATTACCGTGGCGAAACCTTCCAAAGATGCATTAAACATACCACAGATATTTAAAATTAATTGCTTGGATCTTCTTTGTAACAGAAATAGTATCATTCTTTGTGTATGTAACGGGATTCTATACCACTGAACATTGTACCTACGGAATTAAATGTAAATATTAGGTTAGAACAAAAGTTCGTACCATGTCTGACGATTGTACCATTTGATAGAACAAAGTTTCAGTTTTAGGAACCTGTTTCTTGAATTGTAGTACGATGATTTTTAACGGAGTTATGAGTAATCCAAGTCAAAATGCTCCTTTTATATTTACTATAAATTCAGACTCGCAATAATAATAAATAATTTTTAAAATATGACAAATATGAATTGCTCGCGGTTGTAAAGCGCAAAAATAAATTCAGTACTTTATACGTATTTGCTGTTTTAAAATCCTTTTATTTAATCCGCAATATCTCAATAACAAAAATCTTAGGAACCTTTAAAAAAACGATTTTGTAAGGAAAACTAAGCTTTTACATTAGAAAGTCGAAAATGTTTGCAAGTTTTTTTTTTACATAAACAGATCTACAAAGCGAGAAGAAAATTTCCCATTTTGTTCATCTTATAGTTTTCTATATATAAAAATTATTAAACTCACAGAAAAAAATGCAAGACATAGAAGTCTTTCGAAAGTAGAGATTTTAAGCTTTAAAACTTTTTATTTAAATTTAAATTTTGTTCATTTTTAATAAAGTTAAAATTTAGGTGCTTGAATTTTGAAGCTCATAGTTGTACGAACTTTTGTTCTAATCCAACAGCAGATCGCTATTTTTATAAACATGAATTTTTCATTAGTTAATTTCAGCTCATATACTTTAATATAAAATACATTAAAACTTTTATATAACATCTATTGTTGCAAAAGTTGACAAAAAATGTTGACAAAATATATTTTCTTTTATAAGAATGTTTCTCTTACGTAGTATCGATTACGTGATTATTATGGTCCATTATATTCTCTCCGAAATAGTTGCATAAAAACATATATTATATATAACAATTATGAACGCACTTGCCAATGGTCTTATATATTTGAGGATATAACTTTTAGATGATGCTAACTGAAAGTACTGAGAAGCAAATTTTATGAGAATTATCGGTTTCCTGTTAATATATGTTTCACTTTTTATCGTTTTAATATTTTATTATTAATTTATAAGTAATAATACATAAGATTTTTTATTCGTAAAGCTAAGAGAATAAGTATTTTATACAAAAACGAAAATTCTTATGAAGCATTTACTAAACATAAGTATCAATACAGTCTGTTTTTATGTGAAGATATTAATGTTATGTCAAAACTATGTAGATTTGTAATAATATTCACTAAATGTGACAATAGAAATTCGATAAATTTGCATTAATATATACCTGCAACGTTACTAAGTTTTATGAGAAAGTATGTGAATACGTGTTTATTCTTTGTGTTAGAACATTCGTGCTACAGTATACCGGATAGGGCATTTTAATCGCCCCAGGCGGATATCTCAGAAATTAAGAAAAATACAGGAAAAGGTTTATAAAAGGTTATAAAAGTTATAGATTTTCTTGAGGGAAAGAAGGTAAAAGTAACAGATTTTGTATGTGAGGCATTACCAAGGTCAGATCAACGTCAAATCGATTTTTATTTAATAGAACACCCTATTTTTGATGCCAGAATTTAATTGCTGGTATCAAGAATTTTTCAAAACGCTATAATAAAGGTATTTTTCATTAAGTACTTTTCAGGTTATAAGGCTTGAAAGTTACAGTACCGCCGAAAGCGTATTTTGTATATTTTAGAATATTTTTGTACACATACTAATACCAATTGCAAATTAATAATTTAATTTTAATTGTATTATATATGCCAAAGCGAATTTTCGAAATTTATTGATTTGGTTTGAATAATTTCAATCCCCTTCTTTAATAATAAAATATTTAGCTATCTTACAGATTTAAAAAAAAGTCCTCCTGTTTCTAAACATGAATACTACGTCTTCTCATTTATCGTCTTCTGACTAGCTACAGCCTCATGTAATAAATTCACATTTATTTCATTACCATGTAGAATATATGACAGTGAAGTAAGATAACGAAGCCTTTAATAACTGCAATTACAAGCATTCTCTTTTATTGTATCCGTGTGTAATGTAGTATGTTAAAATACTATACATTATATTACCGTGGCAAAACACTCCAACGATCCATCAAATACTCCACCGATATTTACAACAAATTCCTTCGTTCCTACTTGCAATAGGAATAGTATCATTCTTTGAATGCATAAAGGAGTTTTATACCATTGAATGTTGTACCTATGGAATTAAACATAAATTGCTAGCGTAAACTAGAAATTTTTTTTATTAGTTACTTTTTATACAGATTTCTTCTGCAAACAGATAAACTTCTATATTTACTAATCTGTGAAAGAACTCTTATACATTCTCTATTAGAGAAATGTTTCTTACGCAGTAATGAACACGAGATTATTGTGATCTGTAATAATTTGTCCTAGAAGATTGGCTATATACATATATACGATGCATATTAAAACATATGTAAATGGCTCTAAAACCTTTTCGACATTATTTCCAAATAATGCTAGCTGAAAAAGTTAAAAAATAAATTTTATATGAATTATTAATATATTGGTATCCCAGCAAACAAGCTAACGTTATTTATCATCATTTTGACATCATTTTAACATTCAAGATGTCATTTTGACGTTAAAATAACGATAAATAACGTCAGCTTGTTTACTGGGATATTACTGTACGGTTACAGCATAATAAGTTTTCTTCATTTAAAACAAGTATTCTGTGTCGTTTATATAGAAACAGGTTATTATTACGAAACGCTGATTAACCCTTTCGATTCTAGCGCTAACTATAGTCGGCGTTTACGTAATGGATTAATTTTTTTTATTGATGTATAAAATAATAAAATGTAGTTAAAAGAGCAATTGTTTTTAATTAAAATCTGGTTTTTGTTAACAACGAGAAGCTTATTTTATGAGACTGCATATATGTAATTGCCTAAAAAATGAACTCGCGGCAGACTTTCCCGTACAGGAAAAGCACATTCGCGCATACTTACGCTGAAACGAAAGGGTTAAATACCAATGTATTATAAATACATTTTTTTTTCAACATAGAGATATGAGAATTGTCCCAAGATTACATTTATTCACAATACTGCTCATTAAATTCGTCAATAAAAAATACGGCAAATTTGGATAAATATTTCATACCTGTAACATTTTTGTTTTACGATAAAGTATGTTCTACTTGTTATTTTTCTTTTCACGTTATTTCGAAGTACTTATAATTTGCATTTGTTATTTATGTCATTTATAGTTGCTTTCATTAGAGATTGTTAATTCTAGCATATCTGCTGTGTAATTCTTGATATTCTTACGGAATAATATTGCTAATAATTTTGAAACAGTTCGCATACATAATTATATATTGTAAATAACTTACTTGAAATAAATTAAGGCTTAAGCAAGCCACACCAACGACGATTAAAGTGAATACCATTTTCTCGAATATGGATGTAAAATACTTCAACAATCTTTAAAAAAAAATTGTTATTGAAAATATTGCATGCGTATTATCATCAAAGATACAAACTTAAGAGCTTGCCGATGAATATCTACAGCATAAATTATACCCTTGATCATCCAAATCTTATTTTTCAACATAACATTTTGTTGAATGTTGATATTTATTGCATACTCGATACGATAGCTATAAATATTTATGTAATTATACGACTCATTTAATAATATAATTTTTTAATTAATAGTATTATATTTGCAAACAAACTTTTTTAATATGTTGTTTAAAAATATAAACTTTAACTTACATTTTATATTATTATGATTATTCCTACATCTATTTTCATACCTAGCAATTTTAAACATTCCACAGATATGTTGAATAAACGTAATGCACATTGTACCAATTGCTACTAATACAATTGATGCAATACAAATGGCTACATTGATGTGCAATAAAATCAAATAAAAATATTTTTCTTGATCGATGAAGTACTCCATCTTAAGGAGAATATAATACGAACGAGATACATTCGTCGATAAATCAATATGAATTACATTTACCCAAAATTGAACTATAATACAAGCAAATACTATACAAATTCCAAGTGCTAAAAAATGTTTAAAAAGATTATAAATTTAATTACTTATGTATAATGTTATAAAATTATTTTATACTACGTATATTAAACGAAATATTACGTACATTAAATGAAACTGAAACATTTTTTAAATAATAATTAAAATCGAATTTTGTCACAATATTGATAGTTATTTCTTTTTTCTGTTTGAATTGTAAATTTAAACATTACTCCAGCAGCGATGATCTATTCATTAAAATATACCGTTACTTTATAATTATTTCGTTAATTTCATACTGAAGATTTAAAGAAGGTCGAAATTTCTCATGATCGTTTATGTAATATAACATTAAATCCTAGCCTAGATCACAGCATTTTTTTAGATGTTATTTGAATCTCCTGAGCCTTATTTGATATGTCTTTTTATACAATATCAAAGTCTGTTCCGAAATATTTATTCAAAATATACGCAAACTACAAGAAAATGTACATCCTTGTGAATCCACATCATTGTCATCCACACATACACTTTACAACGCAAAGCGAAGTTTCACATGGGATATTTGTTTAGAATAAGAATCTGACCTCCATAAATAAACAATTGTTTAAGTGCACGTGACACAGTAAGTAAGAAGTTGATTGCAAAAATAGGCTGTTATATATTTTTACACTGTTATTTTCGATTTTTTTAATTTATCAATCACATTTCCCATTGATTACGGGCATTATGTATAATGATCAGTTATTTTGATTAATTTGAACATTTTTATTATTATTACTCAAGCGTCCCAAAATAGGCGAGCATTATGTATATTGGCCGGCCATTATACATAATGCCCAAATTAAATTTCTTAAAACACATATATACACACATGTGTATATCAAAATTTTATAATCCAACAAAATTATTTTTTCCACTTAATAACTTACGTATTATATTAATAATATCATATACAAAATCAATAAAAGTTGTCTTACTTGTTGTTAAAGTTATATAACGTTTTGCAATACAATCATATTTTTTTATGATAGCAATTTCATTTTCATCTTTTAATTTGTAATGTACTTCCTGAAGCTGCATCAATAAATCCTTCACCTGTCATTCCAGCAACTTTTGTATATATCAGAGTATATATTTTTTTTACATAAAAAATTTTTAGATGGAGAAGATTACCCCGTAATAGATACTCTGTAAGCGATTGACTTACACTTTCGATGTTCAAACGGAACGAGTTATATTTTATTATAAGAATAATGAAGAAGGATGCGGAAGACAAAACCTTCATAAAGAGGTCCAAAGTATAATTTAACGTTAGAAATGTTGTCAGCTGTTAATAGACAATTTTATTTAATTTTACTCACAATTTAATTAATAATAGTTACAATATACTTACAATTAGTAGAGGAAAGTCGCCGATACTGATATAGGTCTCCTAAAGTGACACACCCTTATTTCTCAGAAACTAACTATTGCACTTTATTAATACTAATAAAATCATGATCTGTTTAGCTAATTAAAAAAGTACAAACTCATAATTCGTATATTTGTGGTTTGTTTCTAATGCGCTAAACCAAATCAGCTAAAAACGAATTCTACGAATGCGAAAATAAAATTCTTACGATTTTCTTTTGCAAATTGCATAGTTTAAATAATAGTGACTATATTATTGATAACATTACGTCATTTTAAATGCTTGTAATTTCCTAAATCAGTTTTATTTATATTATTTTTTCTCTTATAAGTCTTTTCACAATACGATTTTAAATTTAAAATTAAGATGCAACGTGAACCGCCACACCTATCTGTAAAACAGATGAACTAACTTAATCTTTATAATGCTTTATAGTATGAAATAAGTCTATTGGAGCTAAAGACAATCGTGCATATATGGGAAAACTCTTAAAAAACTATCGCATTACATATTTGTATCTTGCAGAACAGCATAAAATAAATATGCAAATAATTCAATATAAATGTTTTATATAACGAAGTGAAAATATTCTGGAAAATCTTATATACATTCACTTGTAGGTATTTTATACAGATAATGCTTGTAAAATAAAAAGAATATGAATACATGTAGCATTATTGCCTACTGTGTCAGTGTTGGAGCCCATTTTGTCAGACGCTCATTTTTGCTTACTTTACGAAAAAATTAATTATTGCAAAATTGCAAACAGTATTATAAAAACTGCTTATACTATCTGATAGAAGATACTTTTCAGTTTGTACTTACGTTTTTAAAGTTTTATTTTTATCTTTTGTTTAAGAAATATTATCTACAAAGTGTGATATGTCGATATCGGCGACTTTCCTCTACAAATATCATTGCTTAATATAGAGTGAGATAAGTAAAACATAGTCGAAACTATTGCTAGTATTATCTAACAGCGTAGTTATTATTATTGTCATAATATTTTCGTACCTGAAATATAATAATAGTCGTCAATATAGCAGACATAAAAATATGTTGAAATCTAGTGAAGTTGGATTGTTGATACGGCCATAAACCAATAGCGAGCAACAGAATTCTGTTAATGCCAAAATACTGATTCTCTTGTCCGATCATATCTTTACAAGATGCGGGACATTAGTGATTGTAAAGAAGCAAATGTGTGTATCCCCTCCTTTCTCCGTCAATCGATTAGATATTCTTTCTCAAACTCAAATTTTAGTGTAAACGTCGTAATTTACATAATAAACCATTTTTTATCACATTATGTGATTAGATATTTACCTAGAACTGAAAACATTTCTTTAACTTAAGTATGTCTATAGTCTATAATAGAGTCATCAACCTAACGTTTGAGAAAATTCATTGTATGACTTTTTTTCTTTCAAAATAAAGAAAAGTTTTTATAAAAGGTCGAAAGTCACGCAAGCGCATCCTTTCTTTTTTTCGATATCGCTGTTTCATTTTCGTGCACGCATTCGTAAGGTAAGGTTTGAGCTTTCAAATGAATATTCTTCAGTTTTGACTTTGTGTGTGTCAACCTTTATATTAACGGAAAACATTACTTTAGCGATGATATCAGAAGTTATCTAAAGTTATATACAAAGTTATATATAATATCGACTGCAAGTAATAATTTTATTTGATTTCATTTAAATATGACTATAATTTCTTTTTTCTTATCGCCTAAATTTTAGCATGCATATGAAATACTTGGAAACACATAAGTAAAAGTTTTGTTAATAACCTCCAACTTTATTCTTCTAATTTTAGATTTATACTTAATAAAGCTTATCATATAAAAATGATCAAATTAGAGAAATACGCGGCACTTGTAAATTTTGAATTAGTCAAACTAGCATGATCAATAGTTCGTAAATATAAATATTGAAGCATCAATTGTTTAATTTTCGCTAATACTATATCTCTACTAACAATACCATTATTCTTTTTATTTTTTATTATGTATTTATTTGTTACTGAATACTCTAAATACTTAAATATTTTGTATATAAACATTTTGTATATAAACATTGAAATGAATGAAATAAAATATATAAGAGTAATGTTTATCTTGCAAATTTAATGTTTAGTAGCAAATTGTGCATGGGGAAAAATTTGAAAGTTTAAAGATAATTAAAATTTTTTAAATATATGTTATGTATATTTGAATTCTCTCTCTCTCTCTCTCTCTCTCTCTCTCTCGATAGATAGATAGATAGATATATTACAATGACGGTTATGATTTAGATGCATTACAAAAACCTGATGCTTATTATTTTCTTAATTTAAATAATTTTAATCTTTTAAGAAAGATATTACTTGAAGGCAGTGAAAAGCATTTAAATATATACACTGTTTCACTGTTTACATTTGGGCTACAGCTAGTAACAAAATGTCCGTTTTTCATTTATTGCAAAAAGTTGATGTATTAATGCTTTGATTTGAATAATTTCAGTCTTCTTTTTTGACAACAAAATATTTAGCTATCTTAAATACTCAAAAATATGTATGTCCTTTTATTTTCTAAGCACAAATACTAGGAATGCACTGAATCATAAAATTATTGGATATCGGAAATCCGAAGAGAGTAGGACACCGGATATCCGGTCAGACATCTGATAGAACAATCATCCATCCGAATATTTTCCGGATATCCGATATAAATTCTCCAAATTTCTTTTAAAAGAACGAGGGGAAACAAGGGAAAAATAGAGATAATACTTGACCAGCTGTGAAACAGAGTTGTTTGCAATACAGTTTTAATATTTCTTAGTAATCGAAATTTAATATTAATAAATTTTTTATGATGGATAATAACATTTCAGCATTTTTCGGTGACAATCTATTTCGATTATCAGCATAAACCACCATAATTGTTCAAAACCATAAACTGTGTAAGAAGATCAACTGGAAAGAATATAATTTTGCATCAATGACACATACTTTCATTATAAAATTTCTGCTAGATATATATTAATGATATGTATTAATGAATACTGATGATATCAGTTAGTTAGTGAGAAGAAGGTATAATATTTATTAAGTATGTATCGGATATTTTTAGGATATAATAGGATTATAATAAATACCATTATCTTTTCACTAACTACATCCTCATCTGCAACATCCTCATGTAATAAATTCATATTTATTTTACCGTGTAGAATATATGACGGTGAAGTAAGATAACGAGGTGTTTAATAACTGCAATTATAAACATTCTCTTTTAGTGCATCAATATGTAATATGTTATGTTAAAATATTGTACATTACATTACCATGGCAAAACACTTCATAGATGGATCAAGTATTCCACCGATATGTAGAGTAAATTCCTTCGTTCCTACTTGCAATAGGAATAGTATCATTCTTTGAATGCATAAAGGGGTTTTATACCACTGAACGTTGTACCTACGGAATTAAACATAAATTGCTAGCGTAAAGTAGAAATTTTTTCATTAATTTACTACTTGATACAGATTTCTTCTGCTACAAACGAACTTCTACATTTATTGTAGCAATCGCTGTGGGAAGAACTCTTATACATCCTCTATTAGAGGAATATTTCTTACGCAGTAATAAATATGTGATTATTGTGATCCGTAATCATCTGTCCTAGAAGGTTGCCTATATACATACATACGATACATACTGAAGCATATGTAAATGACTCTAAAACTTTCTCGACGTCACTTTTAAATAACGCTAGCTAAAAATATTATATTAAGAAATAAATTTGAAGAGAATTATTAGTATAATATTCTACTAACATACGAATACAATACAAGTATTCTTTATTTTTTAAGTTTATATTATATATAATTTATACAGAAACAGGATATTGTTATGAAATACTAATTAAATACAGGTAGCAGTGTACATTCTATTTCAATATAGAGATGTGAGGAGTGTTCCAAGATTACATCTATTTACAATACTGCTCATTAATTCTTCAATAAAAATATGGCAAATTTGCATAAATATTTCATACCTGCAACATCCCAGTAAGCAGAAAACATTTTGAAACTTTTCAACAAGATTGTAGCAACGTAACAACATTGTTGTAACGTTGCTGAAATGTTTCAAAATGTTTCTTGCTTATTGGGAATTTTATGTTTAATGATAAAGTGTATGTTCTACTCGTTGATTTTCTTGTGCCTCGTCATTTAGAAGTACCTACCTAATTTATTGCATTTGTCATTTATACGTCATTTATAGTAGATTTTATTAAAGATTCTTAATTCTGGCATATCTTCTATGTAATTATTGATATTCTTACTGAGCAATATTGTTAATAATTTCGGAACAATTTTCATACGTAATTATATGATGGTAAATAACTTACTTGAAATAAACTAAGGCTCAAGCAAGCCACACCAAGGACGATTAAAATAAACAACATTTTCTCGAATGTGGTTATAAAATGTATTAACAATCTTAAAAAACAAAAAAAATGTTATTAAAAATACTGCATGCGTATTATCATCACAGATACAAACTTAGTAGCTTGCCGATGAATATCTACAGCATAATTTATAGTCTTGATCATCCAGATCTTATTTTTCAATATAATATTTTGTTGAATGTTGATATTTATAGCATACTCGATACGATAGCTGTAAATATTTATGTAATTATACAACTTATTTAATATTTTTTAGTATTATATTTGCAGACAAACTTTTTCAATATGTTGTTTAAAAGTATAAACTTTAACTTACATTTTATATTATTATGGTTATGCCTACATTTATTTTCGTACCTAGCAATTCTAAACATTCCACAGATATGTTGAATAAACGTAAAGAACATTGTACCAAGTGCTACTGCTACAATCGATGCAATGCAAATGGCTACGTTGATGTGCAATAAAATCAAGTAAAAATATTTTTCTTCATCGATGAAATATTCCATCTTAAAGACCATACGATCCGAACGAGATACATTGGTCGATAAATCAATATTAATCACATTTATCCAAAATTGAATCATAATATAAACAAATATTATAAATGCTCCAAGTGCTAAAAAATGCCATTGTACATAATGCCCGAATTAATTAAATTTTCCGTAACATATATACTTGTATATGTATTATATATACATGTACATACATGTATATACATGTATATATATATATATATAAATTTTATAATCTATCAAAATTTATTTTTTCTACTTAACAACTTATTGTTATATACTCTCTGTTATATTATTATATATTATTATACAATATATTATTCTATATACAGGGTAACTCCGGCAAATACGCCGTGCTGAGGACTTTACGCCGTAGAAGTCAGAAAAAATAGAAGGAGTGTAATTTTCCCGTAACTACTCTGTTACATGCCTTTATGTTATATTAGTATTATGTTATGATTTCAGCTTCTTACTGTTAATATTAATGAATTTATTGTGAGTTGAATCGATTTGTCACTGTAATAAGTAACGCCATCATAAGTTATAATCTACCTGAAATGATTAATGTAGGACGTGTAAAAGATTTAGTGATTATTTCGTGATACATACGTGTATGGAATAGTAAAGCATGTTTGTATTATTAAGCATGTTTGCATTATTTGTAAATTTTTCATGAGCCGTATATACCCCCTTTCCCTCTATAAGTAGCCATATATCCCACCCCTATGAGATATGCGGCAAAAATACAAGGTTTCAAAAAGTTTATTTTTTAATATGAAAAATAAATATTTCGGATTTCTAATATTTTTTTCATAGTAGTAGACAATACAAAGTTTTTACTGATATAGTTCGTTTACTATAAACATAGTAAATAATACTTAATAAATTAAGTTTTTATATACCGGAGTTACCCTATTGATGTGATTGTACATAAAATCAATAAAAGTTGTCGTACTTGCAGTTAAAGTTATGTAACGTTTTGCAATACAATCATATTTTTTTATAATAGCAATTTCGTTTTTATCTTTTAATTTGCCGTATATTTGCTGAAGCTGAGTTAGTAAATCCTTCACCTGTCATTCCAGCAACTTTTGTATACATCAAAGCATATATTTTTTTATATAAAAATTCTTTAAATGGGCACGATTACCCCGTAATAGATACTCTGCGATTAACTTACATCTTCGATGTTAAAACGGAACGCGCTGTACTGTACTATTTGCATAACGAAGAAAGATGCGGAAGACAAAACCTTCATAAAGAGGTCCGAAGTATAACTTAACGTTAGAAATGTTGTCAGCTATTAGTAGATAATTTTATTTAATTTTATTCATAATTTAATTAATAATAGTTGCAATATACTTAATACAAATACTATTGCTTAATACAGGATAAATAAAAACATAGTGGAAACTATTGCTAGTACCGTGTAACAGCGTAGTCATTACTATTGTCATAATATTTTTGTACCTGAAATATAATAATAGTTGTCAATATAGTAGTCATAAAAATATGCTGAAATCTAGTGAAGTTGGATTGTTGATATGGCCATAAACCGATAGCGAGCAACAGAATTCTATTACTGCTAAAATACTGATTCTCTTGTCGGATCATATCTTTACAAGATGCGGGACATTAGTGATTGTAAAGAAGCAAATATGTGTATCCCCTCCTTTCTCCGTCAATCGATTAGATGTTCTTTCTTCAAACTCAAATTTTAGTGTAAATATCGTAATTTACATAATAAACCATTTTATCACATTATGTGATTAGATACTTACCTACAACTGAAAACATTTCTTTAACTTATGTATGTCTATAGTCTATAATAGAGTCATCAACCTAATGTTTGAGAAAACTCATTGTATGACTTTTTTCTTTTAAAACGAAGAAAAATTTTTATGAGAGGTCGAAATGCAAGCGCGCATTCTCTCTTTTTCGGTACCGCTATTCATTTTCGTGCACGTATTCATAAGGTAAAGCTTGATTTCTTAGAAGAATATTCTTTAGTTTAACTTTCTGTGTGTGTCAACCCTGATATTATTGGTAAACATTACTTTAGCAACGAGATCAAAAGTGCATCTTAAAGTTATATATGATATCAGTTGTAAATAATAATTTTATTTGATTTCATTTAAATATGACTACAATTTTTTTTTTCTCATCACTGAAACTTTATTTTGGCATGCAAATGAAATACTTGGAAATACGTAAATGTGTGTGTAAGATGTTTGTTATTAACCTCCAATTTGATTCTTCAAATTTTAGATCTTTACTTAATAAAGCTTATAATATAAAAATAATCGAATTAGATAAATACGTGACATTCGTAAATTTTGAGTTAATAACTACAATGATCAATATGTTTTACATGGTTTTTAAATATTGAAATATATATTAGCTATTTAGTTGTCACTAATATATCGCTACTAACAATACTATTATTTTTTTATTTTTTATTATATATTTATTTGTTATTAGATACTCTAAACTGAAATGTTTTGTATTTAAATGTTGAAATAAATGAAATAAAATATATCAGAGTAATGTTTAAGTGCATTAGTAGCAAATTGTTTATAGAGAAAAATTTTTTAATTTAAAGGCGTTATAATATTTTTAAATATGTGTTGTGTATATTTGAACTATAGGTATATTACAATGATGATTATGATTTACATGCGTTACAAACACCTGAGGTTTACTAATTTCTTAATTTGAATCTTCTTTTTTAACAGCAAAATATTTAGGTAACACAGGTTCAAAAAATAAATTGTTTTATTTTCTAAATATTAACACTGTTGTGTTTTCATTAAATTTATTTTCACCATCGTGTTAGTCAAATCTTATTTGTATCACTGTGTAGAATATATGACAGTAAAATAAGATACCGAGGCCTTTATGAGCTGCAATTATAATTATAAATGTACTTTTTTATTGTAATATGGTATTATTAAAATAATCGATATTTTCTTACTGTGGCAAAACATTCCATAGATCCATGCATCATTCCAACACTTAAAGTAAATTCCTTGGTTTTTCTTTGCAACAGGAATAGTATCATTTTCTGTATTTGTAAAGGGGTCCTGTACCACTGAACGTTGTACCTACGGCATTGAATGTAACAGATCGCTAATTTTAGATAGAAATCTTTTGATCAGATAACATCAGTATATAATATGCTGATCTTTTTTTTAATAAATCAGTTTCTACTATTCTATTATAACCACTGCAAAAAGGACATTCTGTTACAGGATTGCCTCTTACGCTGTAGCGAGTACGTAATTGTTATAATCCGTTACGTTCTGAGAAATAAAGTTGCCAAAAAACATGTATAGAATATTTATCAATATGAATATAAACGACAATACAACTTCCTCCATATTATTTTTAAATGATGCTATCTGAAAAAATTAATACGATTTCATACAAATTATTTGTTTCTTTCTTTATACATATACGTTTTAATCATCAATCTAGGAATAATAGATATACCTACAATAAATATCTTTATTTTTAATATTATAGTTACACCGTTGGAAAATTTGTGTTGAATGTAACACATTACACATATCCCAAACGATTTACTCAAACTTTTGTGTTTATTTAATACACACACGCACATTTAGTACATTAGATGAGTGTGTTAAAAAAATAATACAAATATTAAGTAAAAAAGTGATCACTAAAAAGGTAATGCTGACATAGTTTATAAATAGGTATACTGTGGAAGTATATTTTGTTTAGTATAATTAATATTTATGATATGTTAAATTAACACGTATTTTATTTATTTATCGTAGAATTTAGATTTTAAAATACATTATTTTTATGTTACTTGTTTACTCATAAAAGAAATGTTAAATATCAATTTAATACAAAATCTTTAAATAACATAATTACATTATTAATTTCACTCAAATATGTTAAAAAATTTAACACAAACTATTAACAAAAATGTGAGTAGATCGTTTCCAACACAAATATGTTTTTTACTCTGTACAAGTAATTTATAGAAAATACTTAGTAAGATTATGATAAAAATGAAGATGAGGGACTCCACTTCCAATGGCATTAATATATATGTTGTCAAGATTAAGCCATAAACAACATTCAACAGATTTTAGCAGTTAGTTATTGTTTATTAAAAAGTCATTAATAAAAAATTGGAAAAATATATCAGAAATATATCAGTTTGTATCATAGTGTTAAAGGACTAATGTAATTTGTTGATATTGAAGTGAACCTTGCTTTGTGTGGAAAGTTGTAGCCCATGTAGAACGCTTCGCGTTGTAAACTGTTTGCATGTATCTACACAATAGATTCTGCCATCTTATGGAGCGGAGAAAAAGATTTCTACCATCAAAAAATATAGGTTAGAATTAGAATCTCGTTTCGCAAGAAGGATTGCAAATCCATGTAGGATCTCGCTTTGCATAAAAAGTTGCAACCTCATATGAACCTCTTTTCGTATTGGTTTACAACTTTCCATGCAAAGCAAAGTTTCAATCTAAATCTATTTTAGTTTCTCGGTGATGAAACCTTCCCTATGGGGGGAATGGAATTTATTGCGTCCATGCATACACTTTACCGAGGGGGTAATCACTTAATGTAATCGTGGGATAGAGTCCTCGAAATCATTATAAAATTTATATAAAATCTCTATGCATAATCCGATAATTACATATAAAACCATGAGAAACCATTGTATAATATTAAATAAAATCGTATATTTTACCAAATTACTTCACATGTAGTGGAAAAAATTATTTGTAATCAGATGAAATCATATGAAATCATATAATCTATGGGACAATATTTCAGCTAGTGGTTACCCCCTCGCACTTTACAATGCAAAGCGATTCAAAATTTATAAATTATTTTTTAACACTAACACAAGCTGGTATATGTATTTTTCATTTTCTTGTTAATGATTTTTTTAATAAACTAAACGATTGACAGCTGAAACCTTTTAAATGTTGTTTAGAGTCATGATCTTGACCACATATGTCAAGGTCAAAACCATTGGAGGTGGATCCCCTTATATTTTTACTCTTATTTTAGAAGTAAGAAACTTACTTGAAATAGATTAAAGCTCAAGGCAGTCACACCACATATTATTAAAGCAACCAACATTGTTTTGAACATGGACTGCATATGGATAGACAGTCTTCAAAAACAAAAAATAATGTTACTGAGAACCAATTGTTCCATCTTCGAATAAATTATGTGATAATTTATCTAATGGATAAATCGAAATATGGAACAACTCAGCCTAAATATTATAAATGTTACCTATTATGTTTATATTATATACAGGGTTTTATAATATTTAAGCACAACTTTAACCCTTAACTGGCACACTTCTCTAGAATCACATAGCTGATACAGTGGGGCGTTTAGTATCCCAACCATAAAATCGCTTGCCGCGAGTAGGTTATTTGATATTTTGACTTGAAAAAACTTCAGGGCATTCTTGAAATGTTACTTTAACAAATGCCAAAGGTTATTTTAGTGAAATTTAATTTTAAGTGTGAAAAAAATAAAATATCAAAAAAAACGCAGAAAAATTACACTTTTTACAAAAAATTCACATTTTGAATTTTTAATATTAAGGGCTAAAAATTTAATTTGATACTCTCAAGATACAATACATTAAGAAAAAAGACAGTTTGAGAGGGCTCGTTTAAAAAAAAGTATTTATTTTGAGAAATGAAGTGACAAATTTTGATTGAAAAAAGTAGTTTGCTCGACTGCCGCTGCTACACTGACGCATTTAGGCTTATTCTACCTACTCGAGAGGAAAGAGCAACTCTCGAACTATAAACAGATGGGACTATAAGTCCCATTTTCTAACAATAAGGGGACTTAATTTTGAGTTGAAATACGCTGGGGCGTCTAGTACTCCCCCCCCCCCCCCAGCCACAAAGGTTAAAAATGATTTTATATATAATTAATATATAAAATTTTAGTTTATAAAATGTAATGGTATGCTTGACGTTAAACCAATACTCCATTTTCAATTTTTCTCCTAAACTGTTAGAGCACAAGAATTAGTACTGGAGTACATACGTACATATAATTAGCACATAAAAAGTACTTTAACATGAGTGCCATTTTGACTTTTTTGGGAAGGGATGTTAATATAACGAATATTTATAAATTTTCACAAAATATGATAGTACTAACAGTGAATGATAACATTAATATTTAAAAATATTTTTGAAAGACAAAAATTTTTGATAAAATTTTCATTTAAATTCAAATTTCTGAAGATAAATATACAGAGTGTCCCGTAATTATTGACACAACGCTTGAGGGCTGGTAGAATGAACTAACCTAAGTCGAAAAGTTCTTTACTATTTTACAGTTTTCGTGATGAGGCGGGCGGACATGCACTCTCTCATTCGATAATCTGTATTAATTAATATCTCGTTAATTATCTTTCATGTACAGATAGAACAGATTAAACTGATTTGAAAAGTTATTCACCATTTTGCAATTTTCGCAATAATTAACGGTCGATGCAGGCGAATACGAGCTAATTCGGCAATTTTTAAAATTAATATCTCATTAACTATTGCGAAAATAAATTGCAAAGTGATACAGGACTTTTCGACATTGTCAGTTTAGTCCACTCTGCCTGCCCACAAGCGTTATGTCAATAATTACGGGACACCCTGCATATTAAAAAATAAAAATATTATACTAATATAATTATTGTATTGATATAAAATATATATAGAAGATTTTTTAGATAAATATAAATGAATGTGTGGAAGAGGGCCATATTTGATCAAGGCAGATCTTAGTGCCTAATAATATAGTATAAATTTTATTACACAATTTCCAGTTCAAATCATTTATTAGGCAATATTGCAAGACCCGCCGAATATGGTCTTCTTAATTCACTCATTTGTGTTTTAATTTTCCTCCATTTTAATATTATTTCTTAGAAATTTAATATAAAGAAAAACTTACTAATACGTAATGTATGTGAAAATTATCTTAGACTTTTTAAATTTAATATCTTGATTGTTATTTACTGATTAATATTTAATATTAATTATTGAATAATGTAATTGTAAAATCTAATATCTTACTTTAACTTTACAAACTAGTAATGGTAATGATAAATATTACGTGTTATTTTTATAAAGAAGTGTTTGACCCTATTTATGTGAATTGAATTCTGAAATTATGTGCATACATTATTACAAACACCCTATATATTGCATTAATATTATCGTATTAGAGATACAAACTTCATAGCTTGCCGATGTATATTTATAGCACCAATTATGCGTTCGATCACCACAATTTTCTTTTTTAGTGTAATATTTTGTAGAGTGTTGATTGCATGTTCGATGCGATAACTGTAAATGTTTGTGTTTTAACTATATAGAAACTATTAAACAACAACTTTTTAGATAAAAACAATCTTTACGCAAGCTATTTTAATATAAAATTTAAATATGGATAATGTAAATATTATTATCTTTATTCGTACCTAGCAATTTCAAATATTCCATAGATATACTGATAATATATAAGGAACATTACACCAGTCGTTGCTATTGTAATCCCGATACAAATTGCTACATTGATGTGCAATATGATTAAATTAAAATACTTTTCTTGATCGATGAAATACTCCGTCATAATAATGAAATGATATGATCGAGATATGTTCGTCGGTAAATCAATAGCCATGTTCCACCAAAATTGAGTGATAATACTAATAAATGTTGTACAAAATGCAGCTACTAAAAAACAATAGAAAGAAATTATTTAAATTCTTTAAGACATAATTTCTTAAAATTGTTTTATATATACACACAATCTTCTTGTGCAATTAATAGGTATTTTTCCATTTTATTCGATTTATAAACTTGCTACTCGTCACAAATGCATATGATTGCATGTGAAATGATGAATGCATATAAAATATCACCGGTGTCTGAGGGGCGATCTCTGCCTCTGCTGCATGCTCAGATACATTTACACCCGTCTCCAATATTTTTAGATTCGATTAATTCACCTACTCCTATTTATCTATTGATTTCAGTTTTCTCTTCAGAGCTTCAATCCGTGCACTATTATGAGGTTCCAGTGTAAATGTAAAACTTAATAAAATGTTTTTTACCTGTAAATGAAACTCCCAAACGTTTCCCAATGCAATGACATTTATGTATGATAGCGATTTCATTTTTGTCCTTTAACTCGTCACATATATGTTCAAGCTGTATCCATAAATCCTTTATCTGTCATTTCAACATTTTGTAAATTATTTTTGTATATATCAAAGATTATTATATATATTTTGATAAAACCCAAAAATTTATTTAACAAAAAATGTATCCTATTTGACGGTTACTCTATACCAACTCACATTTTCGATGTTAAAATAGAATGCATTATACGTTATTATAAAAATAATGAAGAATAACATGGAAGACAAAACTTTTATGATGAGGTCCGAAGTACATTTTAATGTTAGAAATACTGTCAGCTGCAAGTAGATAGTAATTTTGCTTTAAATATGATTAATAATAATTTTAAAATAATACAAAATAAGTCACATTGTATAACACAGAGTAAAATAAGTAAAAATGTCGTGAAAATTTACCAGCTTATAATTTAGTTTTTATATATTATAATGTCGTTATTATTACTCGCATTATTATATTTTCTTACCTGAAATATAATAATCGTTATCATTATAGCGGAGATAAAAATATACTGAAATTTAGTGAAGTTTGATTGTTGATAGGGCCACAAGCCGATAGTAAGTAAAAGAATTTTAATGCTACTAAAATACTGTCCTTCTAAATGGATCATGTCTTTGTGAGATCCGTAGCATGAGTAATTGTGCGGAGAAGCCAGAGAGTATACCTATCTCTCCTCTTTTCCATTGATCGATTCAATGTTTTCTCTTGTACCCTAAACTTTAGTGTAATTTGTACAATAGCCTATTATACCATAATATAAAGAAATTTACTTAAACCTTAGAATCATTTTTTTTAATGATATCTATAATAAAATCATTTTCTCAATTTGACATCTAAGAAAATGTAATGTATGTTTTTTTCATAAAATGGGAAGAAAACTTCTATGAGAAATTGAAAGCAACGCATGCGTATTCCCTTATTTTTATTGCTATTACTTCACTCTCATGTACACATTCGTAAGATACGTTTGGTCATTGAGAAGACTATTTATCAGCTTTGATAAGTATTATCTAGCATTTATTTCGATATCAATTTTATTAAATAAAATTTGTGTCATTTTGAAACATGATAATTATAGATCTGTGATCATTTTTATATAATATTATATTTTTTCACATTGCTACAAGTTAATAATTGTGCAATTCATAATTAATTTTTACATTCGATCAAGGCGGATCTTAATTTCTAATACGATATTTTTGTATAATTTTTTGCAATTTCTAGTTTAAGCATTGTGCGTCGATTACTTGTCGCAATTTTAGAACTAAGCTGGAATCTATAATATCACAAATTAAATTGATAAGCAGTTTAATATTTCTGATGCTAATATGTAAGAAGTATCTTTAAATAACTTATTGCGAAAAGTATTACTTTATAACTAGGATTTGAATAATTTTTATATTATTGCAAGATACGCACACACACACACACGCACACACACACACAATGGCGCAATTAACATATTATTTACAAACATGTCAGCTGCTAAATAGTTATGTTAATAATTATATTAATTAATAAATAATTATGTTAATTATTCCTCATTAAATATATACATTTTTTATACTTTTTAATTTTTTAGTATGTGTATTACTTGATATTAAAAATTTAAATCATCCTTACAAAGTTGTGAAGAAAGCGATAACAATGACTTATTTATCTTGAAGTGATAATATCACGCACGAAAAATAAAGATAAAACTTGGAAGAAAGATGTAAAATAATTGTATAATTTATTTTATTAAATATAGGTATGTGCTCAGTAAGTATATCATGTGCTTTGTTGATGAAATAAAGAGATTTAACACATCGCTATCTTGGATTAAATAATTTTATTTTTTGTGTCTCTTTTAATACTAAAACTTTCAAGAAACTTATGTAGTTAAGAAATAGACTGTCTACATTTTTTTTTTCTACATGTGATGAATACTGCTTATTCTTCTTGAAGTTATATTCTTCCACATTTTGTATCTAATTCATATTCGTCACTGCATAGATAACATGACAGTAAAGTAAGATATTGAAGCTTTTATCAACTAGAATTAAAATCATTCCAGTTTTTATTTTGTCCGCTTATAATATACATTATACATAGATATATTTAAACAAAGGCTTTATATTATTACCGTAGCAAAACATTCGATGGATGAAACCAATATTCCACCAACAATTATAGTAAAATCTTTGGCGCCTTTTAGTAATAAGAAGAGTATCATTCTTTGGATGTGCAAAGGCGCTACATACCATTGAACGCTGTATCTGCGAAATTGTAGGGACAGAAACGTTGATTTGAGAGGAAGACAGGGAGGATTCATGACTATTTTTTATCATTTTACGTTGATAATTATTAAGTTTGATTAAATTTACTTTTAATATATAGACATCCACACACAGTAAATTATCAGTATCTTATAAAAATGTTTCTTACGCGGTAATGAAAACTTGACTATTATGATCTATGATACTTTGTCCAAAAAAGTTACATATGAACAAATACATGATATTAGCAAATATAAATATAACAGGAAGAAAAGCTTCCCTAATAGCTTCCCCGGACGACACAATCTGAAAGATCTACGCAAAATAAAAACTGTAATGAGTTTTCTATATCCTAACAATCCTCATTTTATACTGTTAAGTCTTGTTTCTTTAAAATAAAAAAAAGAATTAAAATTATATATTTATACAAAATTATTATCGAATACTGATCAATAAAAAGTTGCGATAGAATGCAGTATAAGTTCTCTGTTAGCATAGCACAAATTAAAATGATCATTGCTCGTTAAAAAATAGATTTGAAAATGAAATATCAAACTTACCCGAAGAAAACTGAAACATAAGGAAATGATAAAGACTCCTGTTAAACTGAGGAACATTATCTCAAAACTAGTTACCAAATACTTAGATAATCTTTAAAAATATAAAAATATTATTGTACATATTACATGCGCATATCTTTTTATGATGCTAACCTCATTGCTTTCCGATGAATATCTATAGCGCATATTAAATTCTCGGATTTTGAAATTTTGTTTTTTAAAGTAATATTTTGCGGAATAAAGATCTTTATTGCACGTTCAATACGATAACTGTAAATAATCATAATTTTTTGATAGAGCATTTCTTTGAAAATTAAACTTTATCTATAAATTAATTTAAAATAGTAACAGTTTTTTCACAATTTGAATGTTTGTGGCTATTTTATATTAATTCGTTTTGTACCTAGAAATTTTGAACATTCCGAAAATAAACTGAAGATATCCAATGAGCATTGTTCCTGCTGCTATTGTTGCAATTGTTCCTATACAAAATGCTGCGTTTATGTGTAATAGAATAAAGAAAAAATATTTTTCTTGATCAACAAAATATTCCGTTACAAATTGTATTCGACGTGGCTGAGATACGTTTATTGATGAAGTAACATCAAACATATTTGTCCAACATTGAAAAATAATACATACAAATATTGCACAAATCCCAGCTGCTAAAAAGCATAAATGGATGATAGTTGTTTAAATTTCTGCTGTTTTGTTTTTAAAAATTTTGTTTTACGTATATCATGTACGTGTATGTACATGTCGCCAAGTAGCCAATGTGACCTCTTAATGACATTAAAGACGTTATTTTGTTACTTGGGGTACCTTATTGTCCTTATACACTTAATTACTATTCTACAATTTTATTTGTTTTATAAAGATGCTTACTGATTACTTTAAATGCACACAATGAATACTTTATAAACTTTTTGAACTATACATATATAGTCACGAAACTAATTGTTCAAATAGTACGCCATTATGTCAAAGATTTCCTGAAGCTATTGTCCGGGTGTTAAAAATTGTGGTTCTATGCACACATTATGACATTAATAGGTTCATAATTAGTTGTTCAAATATAAATAAAATGTATAAAGCTCACAAAATTAATAAAGCAATGCATGCAACAAGATCAATACGAGTTAACACGAGGGCTAATTCGAACTCAATCATAAATGAATATCAAATTGATTTAAAAATAATATAATTGGACGTTTTGATTTTCGTCATATTTTCAGCCTGTATTCACAAATAGGTATAATATCTTTGTGAAGACATACGCTGAAGACGATTTAAACAGAAAGACAGAACGTTCAATTATATAATTTTATATCAATTTAGAATTAACTTATTATTAGAGCAGAAGATGGTATTATGGCCAGTGTATATATTGTGGCCTCCCTTAATATCTCCGCTATTATATAGCGAATCCTAATGATTATTTATGGAATTATTAGTTCAGTAGCTCGCCGTTACACCATGGCGCTAATATTACCAATACTCAATAGCTAGCACTTATTATAACGCATTTTTACTTTCAAGTATTTCGAAACGTTTTTGAGGTACACTTTAGCATTTAATTACGCCTATTTTCTCATTTTTCTTAAACTTGAGCATATTATCACATGAATATATGTATTTTTGAGTGTGTTATTTGCTATTTAACATTTTATTTGACTGTATATATTTTGAGTTATGCAAATTTAAACAATACCATGGCATTTTGCTAATGTGGCCTTCTATGGATATTGATTACTCACAACCTCTTTTTTCAATTTTCATATCAAAATAATTATTTGATAATCGATTGTAGCTCTACTGTTAATCTATAGTTTATATTACGTGTACTATTTTTAGTACTGAGATTTTTAGTACTAAGCAGCTTATATGCAGAAGTTATGTGAATGTATATACATTCATTTGCATACATTTTAAAATGTTTTATTTTTTTGTTAATATTTATACCACCTTCTCCTCTATATTTGAACATCCTGACTTATATTTGCCATTATTGTATATTATTCCTTTATAAATATGGTCTGCCAAGTAATGTGTGCGATCAATCAATGCGAAAATCACATTTTTTTTAAATCCGAACAATACTTTTAAAAAATCATCGATATAATGACGCACTATCCGAGTAATCAATTTCATGTTTCATGACTACATATATATAAAAAGTTATAAAGACAAGAATAATTTTGTAATGTATCAAAACCGATATTTTTCTATTAATGTTTTAATAGTATAGATAAAGAAATAAAATCACATGAACAATCTTGCTTTACCCATAAGTAGAGTTGTATAATATTTAGCATTGTAGCCATATTTTTTTATGATAGCTATTTCTTTTTCATCTTTTAATTCGTCGTATATATGTTGAAGCTGCATCAGTAAATTTTTTACCTGTGATTTCAGCAACATTCTTATATTATCTTTGTATACAACAAAACATATTTTGATATATGTTTTGATGCCTTATCGACAAATAAATATTTATTTGTCGGTTAGGGGTTTATTCTATTTTATGAATTTATTGTATATTTGAAACTTACACTTTCGATGTTAATGCAGAACGAATTGTAGTTTATCAAGTAAACAGCAAAGAAAGAAGCGGAAGACACAACCTTGGCAACGAGATCAAAAGTACATCTTAAAGTTATAAGTGATGTCAACTGCAAATAGTCATTTTTTCTAAATTTTATTTATATTAATATGAGACTTTAAATAATTACAATAATACAATATATTTAATATAAAAATTGCATTGCATGCATGCAATACATATATGAGATTAATTGATTGAAAATAGAAACGACGCCATTTTCTTACCTGAAAGATAATACTTGCTGTCAAAATACTAGAAAGAAAAATAAACTGAAACCGAGTGAGGATAGATTGTTGATAGGGCCACAAACCAATAGCTAGTAATAGAATTTTATTAAGATTGAAATACTGAATTTCCAAACGGATCATCTCCCTACGTGCTCCAGAACATTACTGCCAAGATGTCGATGGGAATATATACTCATCCCCACCTTTTTCCACTAGTCGATTAAATATTCCATAACGTCTTTCTTTTACATTTTTACATAAAAATCATCTTTACATAAATTTCAACGCAAATTTCCTAATTGATTATAATTCCTAGAAGTGCAGTCCGCTATGAAATCGAAATTAGATTCAGTAAATTTCTGAACGATTTGCGTATCATTATTCTTTATAACATAATTTATACACGATCGATTTGTCGCTGAAGATGATATGACGGATGTGTCTTTCTCATGAAATTAAACTATAGAAAAACTTCAGAAAAGTTACGCAGGCGCATTTCTTTCTTTTCAGTTTCAAAACTTCATTCTAATACGCGCACTCATAAGTCACACTTGGTCTTCGAAAGGAATATCTCTTCGTTTTAATGTCAGAGCTGCCTAGTAAAACTTATAATTTAGAAATAATTGCATCAAACTGATGACAGGTACATACTTTTAAATATTAATTAACGAACAACGTGATTAATATTTTTAACAATTTGATGTATTAACTATAATATCTAGTTAAAAATTTTGTTAATTAGTGACTATACGATTATCTTTTCTTATTTCTTGTGTTAGTAACTAACGAGAGAGAGTTTTCAATATCTAAATATTTTAATTATTATATTATTTAGGAGAAATGTTCAACATGTCGACAGCAAATTGTAAGTAAACAATTATTTAAAAGCAATGTACAAAGATTGAATATATGTGATTATTCGAGGTATAATATATACAATACTTAATTTGAATACATTGCAACGATCTGATGTACTAACATCTTTATTTGAACAATTTTAATTTATTACATTTTTCTTAATAAAATCTCTAGCTAAACTACACGCTCAAGAAAAAAATTCCTATTTTTTCTAAATATGAGTACTCTTGTTTTTTCATGAACTATGTTCTTATCATTCTATTATTAAATTCATATTTATCTTGTCACCGCGTGGAATATATGACAGTAAAATAAGATACCGAAGTCTTGATTAACTGCAATTAAAGACACCTCTTTTTACAATATTCATTTGTAATAAAGTAGATATTTATTGTTCGTGTTATATTACCGTGGCAAAACACTCCATAGATCCAGTAATTAGTCCACCGATATTCAAAGTAAACGCCTTAGCCTTTCTTTGTAACAGAAACAATATCATTCTTTGTATATGTAACGGAGCTCTATACCACGGAACGTTGTACCTATAAAATTGTACATATTGTAAATAACGAATTGCTAATTGACAAAAGAAACTTTCTATCAGATATTTTTAGCTATGTTAATTTATTCTGTAACTACATTAATTTTTACATCTGATGAAATTATTTTTAAGACACAGAAAGAACATTTTTGCTACTAATTACAAATGATAATTATTATTTTGAAATTTTGCTTCTACTTTGAACCTTAGTTTTAGGATGTATGTATAGAATTTAGAAATGACGTATGTAGACTTTAGAGATTTATAATAGATTCTAATCCAATGAATTGAGCGCCTACGTTGAGCATGTAAATAACAGATATTGCAAGATTTCCTATTTTTAGGTGTTAAAGAAGTTTTCTAAATAGAAGCTGTTGATTAAATAATATTAAAAGAGGCTCTATTTAATTGTTTAAATATCAAAACAAATTTATAAGGTTTAATTGAGGTTGAAAGAGATTCAAAGGACTAAAATTTCGACTCGGGAAATTGACAACACTATTTAGTTATTGTAAAATTGCTATCACAAATCATCTCTTTTACGAATAGCAAATTGACGTTGCTATTGATTTGTCATTGTTAGGGATCCTACATATGAGCGACTTTGTAGCGCCACAATCGAAAGCGTCGACCCGTTCATTATACAGAACTTTTCTGTATAGCGCCACAGAATAGCTCCATACGAACGGGTCGGCGCTTTCGATTGTGGCGCTACAAAGTCACTGGTTTGTAGGAGTCCTTATAGAATTCGAATTTATGTGAGTCCGCGATAAACATAATGCTGTTTCGATCACCCGAATTTGTCGAAATTAATCGTACAAGGTCG